GTATTGTATAACCTGCACTTATAATGGCCAACTGTTTAACACGATAATTTTGTGAAAACCTGCACTAAAGTTGTCGGTTTAACACGAAGAAATTGCTCGGTAATGGGTCTTTTCCTTAATTTTTGTAGCACAAAAATGATAACAATTAATATAGTATGCGCAGTTAAAAACAAATCTGACAACTAATTATCAAACAAACTCATAACAATAAAACGTAACTCACGAAAGCTTGCAAATTTATTTAAATATAAAAGTTATTTTTGTTCCAAATTTGTGAATGATTAATTTGGAGCATGTTAGATGGTCTTATGTTTTTAAAATACTTTCAAATAAAAACATTCTACATTCTAACTAATTATATGAGTTATCGAAACATAATTATATGAATTATTGAAACATTCTACCTTAACTAATTTACGGATTATTAGAGCATGCATCCAATGAACACAATTAAAGATCCAATCTTCACCTTCCATCACTTATTTTATACCATTATCATAATGACATTTATAAGCAGGACCTTTAACTAAAAATAACAAACACTTCTGTCATGAATGAGTGATGAATGAGAAAGTTGAATGTTTGTATAATAAAATCAATTCGTTAGATATATTGATATAGTAAGCGCAGTTTAAAAAAAAAACTAAGTAATCATGAGTGTACAAATTCATTAAATTCTTAAAGACATATATAAATACAATCTGAACCCATATGATGGAGAAAAAAATCTGCATATACAAGATGACCGATGGATATACTATTTTTTATTTTTAACAACTATAAGTTTTAAAAAATAAGGCTTTTAAAAATGAGTAGGCTAATTTACGAGATTTTAAAAGTTATACTACTTTTATAAATTTGAAAAGCTTGATGTCATTAAAACGAGAATTATAAATATACGATACTCATTCTTTAAAATATGTGACTGTATTGAGTAATTCTCATTCCATGTTAACTTCAATCCATTCTCTCTCCAACCACCATTGATATTTTACATCCCATATATATTTGATGAATTTAATTCTCTCTCCAATTTCAATTATTATTTAACATTTGATATTATCTTATCCTCTCAATAATTTGTATATAAGTTATTATCAAAAATTTTCAATAAAGTATTTAACTAATAATAGAATTTATTTTATAAAAATAATTTCTTTAAATGTGATGTATTGAAGTTTGATTGGAGTTTTTTCTTTTCCTTTCTTATATTGCTATATATTTTCAAATTCACGGTGAATAAACAAAATAAAAGTATACTACAAATAAACTACCAAATGGATTATAGTACCTATATAAGTATATAATCCACATATAGTTCAAAATATATAAAACAATAACTAAATATAAATCTTATCAAAATAATATACCAATACAATCATTTTTGTGGTGCCAGAAGATATTATAAACAGATAATTACACCAATCATACATCATATCAACATATACAATTAGAATATTTAAATTCAAAACAATCATTTGCAATGTCAATAATAAATCCTTAAATAAATGAAATCTAAACCAATAGTCTTTGCGAGAACATAACTAATTATTAAAAAAATGAATTAATAGTCTTTGCGAGAACATAACTAATTATTATAAAACTACTTGTAGTATACTGTATATATGTATATATATAGTATACTATTCATATTTATCTCAAAGTTTGTTAGTCAATTTTCTAGTGGATATACAAAATAAAAATGAAACAAATACTTATGCGTAGGGCTAGAAACAAAACGAATTAGAGATTGATAGTTGGGACCGTCTATGGTCAGGTACCCCTTGTACCTACCTAACATCAGGTATCCCTTTATATCACCATTAGATTAACTCATAAATCAATGTCAACCATTAGATTCAAGGTACGAGGTTGGTACGAGATGACTAAAATTCTTTTTGGTTCGTACCAACCTCGTACTAACCTCGTACCACCTTCTACTTGTAAAAAACATATAATACCCTTATATCATTAAAAATTAAAATAATGAATAAAATGATAATTATATTTATTTTAAAAACCTTACATTTATATTATTTGTATAACAATCCTTCAAATACACAAAATATATCATTACAACCTTAACATTTAACTTACCAATTAATCTCCCAAAAATCAAAATCAACATCTCCTTCCTCTTAGCCCTCTGTCGGGCCCAATCCCAAACCCCTCCCACACTCGCAGCTCCGCCGCCGGCCTCCGACGATGCGTCGGAGTATTCCTCTCCTATTCCTACGAAGGTGGAAGGATCTTCCCGCCGATTTGGCCCTCAGATCCAGCCCGACAGCCCTACTGGTTCAGTCCTCCTTCACCGTGCACAATAACGACACCCACGAGTTCCTGGTGGGTTTTCGTCAGGTTTCAACACGACGAATATCTGGTATCGGTCACGAATGTCGTGCTTGCAGATGGGAGCTCGACGTCGGGGCCCGTGGGAAACGTGTCAGTCTTTGCGGAGTTCCCGAATCCAGATCTTGAAACGGGTATCGAGACGGCGGGGGATTCGACCCAGATGGCAGGTTGGGTTGAGCTGGTGGATACGCAAATTGAGGTGGTCCCGCTGGATGTGCCTATGCCGGCGAATATCTCTCTGGTCAATGATGGGTGGATTTGTCCCAGACCTAGGATGCAAGGTGAGCTTCTTCTTCATGATTTTGGCTCTTGGGAGTGTATGTAATGTGTTTTAGTTCTCTTATGGTCAGATTATTGAGGATTCGTGAATTTGGAGAGATCGATGGACTAGATTAGTTAGAATGATAAGAGGTCTTAAATTTTTAGGTTTTGAATGATTCTATGAACAATTGGGTGTAACTAAACCTTTGTGCAAGTTTCTGTTTGACCTTTAACTCTCATTTAATTTGAACAGAGATATTGCTTCTGGAGTTTTTGAGAGGTTTGCTTGATGGTAAGAGTTGAATACATTTGACTAAATGCCCAGATGGGTAGTTTTGAAAATAAAGTTGAAAGACTTGAGTAGTTTTTTCTTCTAAGATTTTTGTTCTTTGAAGCTCGTAAAATGTCTTAGAAAGTATTTCCATTTTTTTAGAGCAAACACTTCCTAATTAGATTCCACAACAAAGAACATTGACCCCTCCACATGTTTCCAGTTCCTAATACATGATGAAAAAGAACAAAAACCTAAAGCATATCTATCCAGCTGCTCCATTGCACCAAACAAACCCGAAAGGAGATAAAATCTGCTGAAATCATTTGATATCAAATTTAAATGTAGTTTTTCTTTCACATTGCTGTTATCAGGAAATAGAACAATGCAAGTGTGTTGCACGAGAGATGCTGGTTCACGGCGGTTGAGCTCAACCAGGGGGCCTTGGGCTTTGAGGCTGCCTACTCGTTCAACGCGACCTCGATGGGCCTTGGGGTCGGTGGGGAAAACGACACGATCTTCATACAGAGATTGCCCGCCGTCATGGAAAAGCTTTCCAATGGAGTCACCTCTGAAAAAATTGAACGGATGTGTAGTATCAAAGGGGACCGCAACTTGAGGCATATTATGGAGGTTGACACCAACCCTCCTCCTGCTACAATGATAAGGTTATATTTTTATTTTTTTTTTAAAGAACATTACATTGGTGTGTTGATTCTTCTCATTGTTCATTAATGTCTTTAGTTCTTTTCTTCCTATAATTTCTTTTCTGTATGTAAAGGGGACTCGTGCTCGTTGTAATTTATTGGAGTTATATGAAGCTGCCCGTTGAAGAAGAAATATGTGAAAATGATGTATGTGATGTCGGAGAAGACAATGTGGGTGGTGTTTTATTCGACAAGAGACTTATGATATGATGAACTTCACTTAATTATACCTTCCTTTTATTTCTAGTTTAATATTTTCATTCTGTATGTCTTTCTTGTTTTAATGAAATTTCAAGAACATAATGAGTGGTTGATGAAGTATGGCAGTCCTGTTCAGAATCTCGAAGAAGTACGTAACTGTTCAATCTCTGCTCTCTTTAATCTCTATTGATTTCTAATTTCAGACTTCCAATCTGGGTTGAGGGCATTGGTTAAAACTGGGTATGGTGCACGGGCTATACCACATGTGGATGAATCTGTGGTGGTTGATGCAGCTTGCTATCGGTTGTGATTTATGTTGAGAAACTATGTGAAATTGTGTGGGAATGTGTAATTGATGAGGAACTTGACCGTGACATGAAATAGACTATGTGATGCCGGTTTTGCAGATAATGAAGAAGCATGTCATGTCATGCCTTGCTCTTAGAAACATGAATAGCTCTGTTCAATTTGTCCAGTTTGTCAAATTGTGTAGAGAAGTCGTCGATGAATTGCTGAATGGGTGTACACATGTGGCATTCCCAAATCATGTATTTTTTATGATTGGATATGTAAGGTGTGGTTGAGATTGCTCATTTTGTTTTGCCTCACGCAACATCAACCCAGAAATTGTCACATACAATCAAGTTCACAATATCAACAAACCCAAAGCACAACCAACAATAGTACTCAATCAATCAAATTTCCAAAAGTAATAAGATATATTCAACAACCTCAACAAAATTTCCAGTATTAACAAACTAGACATACAATCAACCATAATCATAGTACTCAATCAACTAAGTATGTATTCATTTTCAACGAAAAGATTTTATTAGAAGATGATGAAAAATTTATTGAAACATGACTTATGAATATAATCAAATAACAAGAACTACAATTATAATATTCTTTCATTTCATAATCAGTCTACCACCTCAAGCTTATGATATTCCTCCCCTGCAATGGCATCCTCCATAACACAGGATCTATAATCCCAAAAAACAACTTCATCAGATTCTAAGAGAACCTGCTCACGAGCGCCACCCCTAACTGGTTGGCCGACACCTGCGTGGCACGTGAGTCCCTCAAGTTCCAAAACACAATCTCCGATATACAATCCCATACTCCTTCTCACCAAACTTCCTCACAATCGTCTGGTAATGAGTTTCATACTCCCATGGATTCATAGAGGCTCGTCAAATTCCATGTCACTGAAAAATGAACAATCTCTTGATCATCGGAACCGGGTTCAATTTCCCATCCACCGCCACATGAAGTAGCAAGTCAAACACCTTCTTCCCGCTGCAATCCATACACCTCACAAACTTTGTCTTCTCCTTCAGTTAGAACCCTCGACAGTCTGAAGCTCGGGACTTTCGCTGAATATATTAACTTTTCCTTAAAAAATACCATACCACAATTGAAAAAGCTTCGACCTGTCCCAAGAGAGGGATGCCCGGGTGGGTAGACAGAACGATACACTGCCTTTCATTTCGCCGCGAGGGACAGTCATCGCCTAAAGCTATTGATTTGATAGCGGGTTAGAAAAGGCCAAGGCTCCTCACTCAATTCAGACACCAAAAGTCCTAGAGCCACCGATACCTCCATTGGAATCCAGGTCATACTATCTAACACATCACAGATTGTCAAGCAATTATTCAGCTTCCCAATCTTCGCCATGTCATCCACCATCCTCCTTCACTGAACCTCCTCCAATGAACTCGTGCATTTGTAGAAGGAAATAATATTAGAAGAATAAAAGTAAAATAATCAGTAAATTCTATAGGATGTGTTAGAAAGGGTAATAACTATCTACTACGATTTTTCAAGGTCTTAACCAATTACCTTATAAATATTTCAGCCAAAACAACTTCAACAATTTACTACACTTACATGTCTCCGACCACGAGTTTCCAAATTTTTCGGGCTGACCATGAATTGAGCACAGAGACGATTAAGATATTTCGTGCCGAAGGTAATCTCCGACCGTGGATTGTGATAATTTTTGGCTTCTTTTCAATTTTTCTGATGGGTCCCCGCAAGACGGGGGCGGGGGAATGAAAATGGCGTTGGGGCGTGGGGAAATAAGGGGTAGTCTCATATCTTGCCCTAATTTTTGTGAAAAGGATTATTGCCGCCTACTATTTTGGTCTCCATAAAATGGCGCTAGTTTCAAATATTTTGGTTGTCAAAGGTGGGTAACTTATATAATTTCACTTATTATATAATTATTGAGGAAATAACTCCTATTCTAACTGTCAAGTACTCATTAATAATAATGATAATAATAATATAAACTTAAATTTCATCATTGACAATTATAAAAGTAAATAAATAATTATAAATATGTACACTATTAATAAATTGAATCATAAAGTATCATCAAAAATTAATGAGAAATAGATATAACAAGTATTATTACAATTTTAGTGTTCTAATTGATCGTTGGACTCTTTATCTATCTACATTTGAAAATGTTGAGTGAAAGACAAAAAAGTGTTACGAAAATTGATATGAATAATATTGCAACACAAAAATGATAAACTAATGAAATGATAAGCTAAACATTCAAACATATTTCTAATACTAGTTAACAATATTATTAAATTGGTATATTTGTCATAAAGTTTAACTAATTAATAGGAAAATATATTTAATTATTTAAATTGATCATAGTACCTATTAGAAACATAAATTGAGTACATTTTTTGAAAATGAAAACAAATAACGCTAAAATTAATATTTGTAAGCACTGTCATTTGCTTCATAATTTATCTAAATAATTTATAAGCTTCTTTTATTTAAATGAATTTTTTGTAAACAATATCATTTACTATATAATTTATTTAAATAAGCTCTTATATTCAAATAATTCTCTTCTAGTAAGTTAAGCTCATAAGAAAGCTCACTTAAATGATTATTTTTGTGACAATTAAAAATAATCATTGAAATTTTTATTGCTAAGGTATTTTTATAAAATAAATAATTATGTATTAACTAGTTGATAAGTTGTTATAAGCTTGAAACAAGCTTATCAACTAGTATTACAAAACTTGCTACTTAAATCTACCACAATTTACCATAAATATTTGTTGTATCTCCGGATCGCTGAATTATATATACGTCTAATCGAAACAGAATGAGCGATTGCAAATTTATATAAATCTAAAATAAATAAAATATGTTATATTCATGTAATATATATATTTAAAACCATATGTGTTCATGTTATTTGATAACGGTCGGTTTTGCCAACAAGATTACGAAGCGGTAATATGCTATTTTGAGGTTGAGATTTGGGATTTGAAAAAGACCGAAAAGAAATTAAGATAATCGACGAATTAGGTACTTGCTTTAATATGCTTGTAGAGAATATAATAAAGTTATTACAAAATAATCGAGTCACATTGATATAAATAGAAGATATTTAGAAGTTTAGAACCATGATTATGTTGAAGTGATTTAAAGTTGCTACACATGTTTAACAATTAAAAATACATGGAATAATTAAAAACTTACAAATGGAAGTTTATTTGAATTTATCAAATGACTTACTTGGTATGGTTAAAAAAAAAAATGGATGTTGCCTCAACAAAATCATTTATTAGCATGATATATTGTCCAAATTGTCTATATTTATGGACAAGACATTGAATTTATTAGTACAACTAATGTCTGTAGCGTAACCTATCTATATGTTTCCAAGATTACCAAGTGTTATTATTTAAATTAGATACATGACTATTTTATTTACTTATTTTCATTTATAAAACAATATATAGTACAAATTACATTTTTTTTTTTCAAAACTTGAATAGGTTTGTAATGTACATAGGTATTTTTATGGTGAAAATTGTAATTCTGAATTGTACCTCACCATCAAATATTAATTTTATTAATAGGTCAAAATGTTGCATTTCCATAATATGCCAATATTAGTGCTTTTAGTAATTTTATTTTTTCAAATACATTAATAATAAAATTTACTTATCAAAATCTATATTTTTTCATCTCGTGAGTAAATCGTCAAAATTTGTTCAAATATAATTTTTAGAATCTACTAACCAAATTAGTTTTTTAATATTTTTTGGTTAACAATAAAACTGGAATTAATAAAATATTTTAACTATTGATATTAGATCATTTCAAATCTTATGCATTTACTCATTTGATCGGTCAAAATGTTAAATTTTCATAATCTACCAATATTATAGTGTTTTTAGCATATTTTTTTGTCAAATAAAAATATATCATAAAGCAATTGTAATTTATAATATAACATAAAATAGTTAGAGATACTATAAGTACATTATATTGTACATAAGGGTGTACATAACACTCACATTAAGTGGGACCGACCAAAAATAAAAAATTAAGTGGACCCCACTCCATGTGATTATTATGTACATCTTTCATTTATTATGTATTTATAGCATTTTTCAAATAATTATTATGTTTCATGGAAAGCTAAAGTCTGAAAATAGTATAAATTTTTTTAAGCTCTTATTCTATATTTAAATATTAAAATATAATGTTTTTTTTTTTTTAAACCATGTATGATGCATTGACCATGTCTGTCTGTCTGATGCACAACAGGAGATGAGAAGTTCAAGCGATTTCCTTCCAAGAATCATTATTGAATGAGTCGATATCTGCTCGGAAGTAGACCTTCAAAGAATCATTCTTCAGCCACATTTGAGAGCATTCTCGGTGGTGTTCCATATCTACACATTTGAGAGCTTTATGTTTTCTTATTAGTAATTGCGCTTATATTTGTATCATTATCCTACTGATGTAAAGTACCCATCCTAACGGCCATCGACCAAAGTAAAGGACTCGACAAACCCGACAGATCATCGAGGTCCACGTAGCTCACTCACGTTCTTGCCCTCAGCCTCTTGCCAGTCTTCCACCATTTGGTCGAGCTGTGCAGTGGCCCGCGAGGTTGGCCAAGATGGACACGCTTTCGCGGGCTTCGTCCTTGACATCCAGGGGTGTGTCAATGGATCCCCACAGCTTGTCCACACTCGATTTCACTTGCCATAAGTAGGGACCAGATACTGGCTTTCCTCGAGCCCGAGGGCCATCATGCCAGTTAGCAGCTCCATTATGACAACCCCGAAGCTGAACACGTCCACTTTTGTTGGGATTTTGCCCATAACTTGAAATAGGAAGCAACATGATTAGATAATGCATTTCTTTACGAATCATTTAGGACACACTCACATTAAAAAAGAAAATGTAACAAGACAAGTATAAAGATCAAAGAAAGGCATGCAGATAAATTTTCAGAGACGAGTCGACAAAGAGCAAATGTCTAAGCAATTTATGGTAATAGTTATAAAGTAAGATGTTCCAAATCATTTCAAGAGAACAAGAAAAAAGCTTCAAGTTTTCTTTCAGATGGAACATCTCTGTTCAGATTATAGGAAGGGTTACATAGTTGGATTCTTGTGCATTTTGCATAAGATGTTAGTCGCACAATTCATAAATTAAACAACTCATTCTTACTAATTGAATCAGTTATGCATGCTCTAACAGGTAAGAAAATTGGTGCAACTTAACAGAAGTTAGAAGACCTGAACATGTGTCCAGGCTTGCCGAAATAATCTCTTTTATTGATTTTCTGATTCACAATACCAATTTAAAAAGGACTCGCAAAATCAACCACATATTACCAGTATATTCAGACGCGGGATACCCAAAAGTCCCTGCCAGACGAGTTACCACCGACCTCTCCCCATCAGACAGGGTCCCGGACCTCCCGATTCTCCATGTGAACAACTACAGCCACGGATCCATCAAACTCAGCAAGACACAAATTCGACGATGGATTAATATGAAAACGGCTAGGAGACAGAGGGATTTTAGCCCTCGGGAATTCTTCATTCACATAGTCGAAGGAAATGATACAGGAATGAGTACGACAAGGATCAGAGGCAACCCAATAATGAAAGCCATTTATGTAAACATAAAATCTTTCACCCCGTGGGGCAGTAGGAGATTGGATATGGAATACTTTCCAAGAATTAGATTTGAGAGAGTACAGCTCTGGCAGCATAATTGCTGAGAATTCTGATCATCTTGTTGTCCTTGGATGAGGGATCAAAACCCAAAACATAATAAATGAAAGCGTTAGTCCCAATCAGCGGCCTGGAGGCGGTGGATCGCGGGAGGCTCCTTACCTCGTCGGTGGTAGAGTTCCACAGAGCAGCGAGCATAATAGAGTAGTTACCGGGATAGAAGTGGGTGCTGCGCTCGGTGTCGGGAAACTGGAGCTGGTCGAAGACGACGTCATACTTCCTTTCGTCGCGATTGAGATTAGGGCGTAGTCGACACTTCCGTCTGCTAAGCGCGTGGCCATGAGGAATTCCTTGTGACGATGTCCCTTCTTCGGATCGGGAAGAGATAGCAGATTTGGGGGTTTTGATATGGAAAAAAAAAAAGTTTTGAATCAAATAAAATGAAATGCAAATTAGAAAATTCGATCGAATTTTGAAACAATGACCTGGATAATATATGATCGATAAAGAAGCATTCAAAGGATGATCTTCATAGCGAAAGGGAGAAAGATGAAGATGATTGATCGAGTTCAAGAAAGAATGTAATTTATTTAAAATTTGTGGCCTAATTGGAATATGTAAATGTAATTAGGGAGAACAATAATATCAGAATAGTTA